GCGTACAATTCAAAAATTACCGAATCTAACTATTGTATGTGTAGGTAACGAAAACTGTGGTAAATATTTGATTATGCTGTTTAAAAAAAATAAAAATTATACATATTTATAAATCAAATTATAATTCGATAGGATGTAGGTAAGGTATGTAGGATGTAGTATGTAAGGTATATAAATAAAGTAATTAAAACGTGATGATTCTATATGATCATTTAATGAACTAAAATGCAGATCCTCAATGTTGAAAATATGGCTGCTGTATTTTGTTTTTAACAAATATACAATCGAAATGTTTGAATGTATAACTTTATACATAGTTACATAAATAAATTTGAAATATTAAGTAGGTAGTTAATAGTGCAACTGTAAGTTGTCTATTCGTGATTCCATTTGGATGACAGTCGTACACTTTACAGTATTGCAGGATATAATATTAGTAATAAATATTTGAATAGAAAATATAATCACTATTAAGTACTGACGAAAAAAACTCAGYAATAAATCACCAATAGAAGAATTTGTTCAGTATATTCAAGTCTCCTATTATAACCTCTTTARATGGTTGCTTTAGTTATTACGGTGAAAAAACTTTTTATGTATTAGGATCTTACATTACTTGTTTTTATTGTTATACAATTTAAAAATACTTAGTTATGCTACATGGTTTTCTATTTTCTTGAGGACTAATACTTTTACGTATTTCACAATACTCAATGACATTATTTTGGTATATTAATTCAAAAATGAATAACAATAATATATTATAATATATAAGTACTTAATAATTAATATGTTAATAATATAATACAACTAATGTCCTAGATTTATATTAATTCAACCAACCATATGACTAGTATAGAATAATAATACAATTTATTATTATATACACTCAAAAACTGTTAGACTGTAATGAATAAAAATTATATCAATAGATAATCTGATAGASCATTTTTGATCAGAATCGTATTTTCTATATTATATTATTATAATTTAAAATCTCTTCAACACTTATAATAGTTAGTACAAAATTAAATAAAATTGACTAMATCAGTGCTTATAAGTTATAGTTTCAAATGTTTTAATCAGATTTTTAATTGTTTATTGAGTAATAACAACATAAAATGTCAAAGTTCAAAGATTTAAAAATGATAATCCCCATACTAAAACAAGTAAATGATAATCATATTTGTTCATAGCCCGAAAGTTATTTAAAAACAAAATTATAATATTTTATTTGCATAAAGAATTGAAAAATAAATGTACTTATTATTTTCATGTTATATTGTAAACACAATACATATAGGTATAACCAGTGGGCAATGATGATAAACAGTATTTCAATCAATGTTATATTATAACATATTAATAGGTATATACTATACATTAGTATAAAATGTTGAGTAACTTGATCTAGTTATCATAAATAGTCTCATAATATAGGTAGGATAGGTAGGTAAAGATACACTAAAAAATATGCATCCCGTAATGTTTTTTTGATTAATACTAAGATCGATGACCTGTTGTGGAGTATTTGTTTTTATTTACAACTGTATTAGATATTACATCATCGATTTAATTTGAATACAAATAAACCGTCGTATATGCTTGTGCATCGAAAATAAAATTTTAAAAATTCAGTTAAATAAATAGACTCAACTGTACAGGTGAAAAACAATTCTAAATAAAGATGGTCGATCATTTTATCAACCATGGTTATCAAACAATTATTTAAATAATAATATTAGGTATAATTTTAACAATTATGACGTCTGTATTTTAATTTTCCCAATTACTTAGAAAAATCGAGAATTTTCAATTTTTACCACTTAAGCGTAACAACCATGCCCAATTTTCTACCGGAAACCTCCATCAGAGTAGATGCTAATGGCCATATTTTGTCTAATAGATAGAAAAAGTGTCTACAGAAGTACTACAGATACAAAAATAAAAACCACACATCATTGTAACAGCGATACATTCTTAATCTGCTATTGCTCAACTTCCTATTGCGATGCTCACTCTTATCATTTATTGATTACTCCCATAGTAGGTGGTATACTATAATAAAATTTAACGCGTACATCGTCATCTATCGCGGTACATATATATTGAAGACCGTGCGGACCACACGCAAAATACGATAACGAACCTTCCGTACAGCTGTGCTAGTCAGAGATGGCTTAGCTCGACTACATAGGGTCGG